GGATGCCCCCGCTGAGCCACGGCCACCCCTTGCCAGCCTGCTGTCTGTCTCTCAGGGCCTCACACTCCTGGCAGGTCTGCAGACTTTTCTCCTTGGCTCTGGGGGTAAGCCTGATAACGAGGGCCTGGCCTCTCGTCTGCTGATGCTGCCCTCGGTACTCCTGCAGGTTTGTCCACTTGGCACACCACTGGATGTGCCACTACTGGCGGCACCTGCTACACCCACAGTGCCCACTCCCGCTGGGAATCAGAAGCAGCCAGCCTGGAAGACTGGGCTCCACCGTGGTCGAGCTGTGGTGAACGTTGCCTTGATAGAAACAGTGCGCTCGATGCAGTATGGTAACCGAAGCAGACAGGATCTGTGGGATGTTTATGGCACTGTGACATGTAAAGTAAGTGCTCAGAGTGAATGAAAGCAAGTGATGTTATAACTTTTTTTTCTCACTTTGTTTACATTCTTTTCCTTTATTCTAATTTTTTCTCCTGTCAACAGTGCGAAGTGGAAGGGGTGCTCCCAAATGTGACTGTGACCCTCACGCTGCCATCAATTGGTTCTCCACTACAGGACATCCTGGTCCATCCTTGTGTTACCTCACTGGACTCTAGTATCCTGACTGCCAGCAGCGTAGATAGCTATGATGGCTCAGCTTTTTCTGGGCCATACAAGTTCCCCTTCTCTCCTCCCCTGGAACCTTTCAGACTATGCAGCTATACATCTCAGGTACAAAACATACATACTAACATACTTCTGAATCCACACATCCACAGTGTTTTATGCTAAAGTGATTAATGTAATTTTTCATCAGGTCCCTGTTCCTCCTATCCTTGGTTCATATCAACTGAAGGAAGAAGAGAACCAGCTGCGTGTGTCAGTAACCCTCAAACTTCACGAGAGTGTGAAGAACAGCTTTGAGTACTGTGAAGCACACCTGCCATTCTTTAACAGGTATGCAGCACAGGAGGATCGAACGCCATCCAGTATTTGTTTCCCTTAGAGCAAAGAGGTTTAATGCCTCACAGTCCATGCCATCTTTGAGGTTAAATTGTCTTCCTGATATCCAATCAGTAATCATGAGCTCTTTTAACATTTTTAGTGTCTCCTTTTTGACAAACTAAACACATTAAGTTCTTTAAAACACCTTTTTTTTTAGAGCCTAAGAGTAATAATCTATTCAGTTGGAATACGTTGGATAATCAACAAATATAATTTTCAAGTATGTTGAAAAAATCTTTTTATTGCATACTGTTTCACACATTTCCTAGCTATGCTTGCAAACTAATGTAAAATTGATTCCAACTGGCAAATTAGATAAAGGCATCAATGAGATAATTAGTTTTTTAATTGTTGAATTACTAAACATTAACATTATAAACACCAGTTATTACAGTAGTGACCTATTTTTTTAATCTCTCTTTGAAAATATATTCCTTCATAATGTTTAGTTGTTTTATGATCTCTCACACTGGCCTTTGTAATGTGGAAAAGGGGCTTCAGGCATCATTATTTAAACTGAATAAATGGGTCCTCCTACAGCAAAGTAATAAACCTATTAAACTAAGTGAAACTAATAATCTCAAGTCAAGTATGTGCAACCAGCAGATAAAATACACACGTGTGCTCTGTGTCTTGTGCAGGGATCAGATGGGTGTTGTGGATATGAAGGTGAGCTCCGGACAACTGGATGTTGCAAAAGAGAAGAATCTGCTGGTCTGGGGCCTGGGTAGGCACAGTGCTCCTAAGCATAATTTAAAAAAAATCACACCTGTATACAGTATTTGAAAAGGAAACTAATGAGTAGTTTCTCCCCTGATATACTGATATTTAGGACAAAAGTTCCCTAAATCTCGGGAGGTCACAATGGAAGGCAAGATCAGCTTTTCTGGGCCGGCACCAGGACCCACTGACCCCCTCTGCACCGAACTTACCGCCTATATCAAAGTAAGTTAATGTGTATTGTGATTAATTTTCTCATGGGATAAGGTCAAATGGATAAGGCATCTATTAACATACAATCATTAGGTTGTAAAGTGATTAACTCTTCCCCTGTTATCTTAACAGTTGTATTTCAAAGTGCCTGACATGACGCTCTCTGGGTGCTGTGTGGACCAGCATTCAGTGCAGGTTTATTCCTCTGCCAAACCGCGGATTGTAACATGTAAGCTCACAACAGTTTTTGTATCAAAATATTTCCTAGATGCGTTTCTGAAACGAAAAAAAAAAAAATAAAAATCTGTCTGTCTTATTTCCAGCCAGAGAACTTCTATCCAAAGAGTACTTCATATGGAATTCAACAGGTACTGCTCCAGTTTCCTCTGGGCAGATGATGCTGTAGCATGGACCCAGTGGTGGAAAGGTGCACAGTTCACTGTACTGTAGCAGGACTGAAGACCCTGTCAGCATATACAGTGATCCAGACCAGATATGTGACCCTATAAAATCTACTTGTTACAATCCTGTTGTTACTGGAGAGCTCACAAATGTAAATAGCAAATCATTTGTATAGTTCACATTTCTAACATTTACATGTACAAAATATGACTAAATAATTTTGCTTTCACTTTGATAGTACACAGTTCAAAATGTACAAATCTGACTGGAAGTTTTAATTTTGTTACTGGATGGATACTTAAAAAAAAAAAAAAACTCCCCCCGTAGTCCAACTCCTTTTATCCCCCAGCCTCCACCCTCCCTCAAATTTATCCCATTTCAGACACAAGGGCCACCCCTCGCTCTGACAGTCCCACTTCAGTGACTCTCCATCAGCCGGATAATTAGCAGCTGGGGCCTTGTCATCAGCTGTTGTGGGCCTGGAGGAGAGGGGCGGCTGGGCTGTGAAAGACCAGGCTGCTCTGGCCAGTGTCTTGGCTACAAAAGGCTCCTCTTTTAGAGCCGGCAGGAGTCCTTGCCCCTTCCACCAGTCACTCCCCCACCTCCCTTTTGACCCCATCCCCGCCCTGTCAACTAGTGGCTAGTTCAAACACACAACCTCTCCAACCAGACTGTGATTGTGCGCTGACCCTCTGGCCCTCTGAGACTTTCAAGCAGCCGGTCCCATTCAGCGAGCAGGACCAGCCTAATTGGTGAAAAAGTCACAAGGATGGAAGTGCTTGGGTCGCCTCTTAAAGTTGCATAGTTGCTTTAACTTAGTTACTGTAGACATTAAGCACATGATTTTGATCTTTGTTGTTTTAACGCAAGTGTCATGGTAGACTTCCCTTTATAATCAGTTTTTAATTATAAAGATTTGAAAAGGGTTTTTCTTTTGGGAAATTTTTCATTGTTTACTATTACCTGAACTATTATTAGTTTCTTACTAACTCTGTTAAATTTTTACTATAAAAGCTCCACTTCAGTGTATTAGGTTGACTGAATAACTAGCTGATGAAGGGTTAAATCAGAGGAGATTGTGCCCCACTATTCCACAGCAGCCAGACTCCTCTGAGTGCCCTCATTGTCTGCTGTTGGCCTCTTGTGCCCCTTGCTGGTCCAAATGCTACATTCTCACGTGGATTTCCACTCAGAAGGCTGACCATGACCAATCCTCTGTCAATTGGAACCAATTGCTCACACGGCATCCTTCACCTTCTTTTTATGTAGCAGTACGGAGTGGCAGACACCGAGACCTCTCGGCTCTCCCCCTCCACGATGATTTGGCTTTAAGGCCCAGTGTGTGTGGCTAGCGAACTGGAAAAGGAGAAGTTTTTTTTTAAGAGTTGGGCCACTCTAAATCTCTTCAGTATCCCAATATGTGGTCAGTCTGGCTCCTCAAGTCTGCAGTCAGTGGCCTCTCACTGGCAGACTTTGCTTTGTTGATTGAAAAGCTTGCTAAGTAGATGGATTCGTTTTAATGTTTTGCTCTGCTCCAGTGCCTTCAGCTCATACCTTTCATGTGGCCCTGTTTTTCAGAATCATTAATAATTTATTTATTTAATCGTTGTTTACACTTGTATACACACATACGGGAAAGGGATTAACACTTTTGTACAATAATGATCAAAATAAATAATATATTTGTGAAAGTAAAACAGTGGTGTGGATCGCTATAACTCATATTAATATATCATTAGGTTGCATAGGTTTACCATAATAAAACATTTACTACGTTATTATAAACACTGCACCTGTAACCAACTTCATTGTGTCCCTCAGCCCAATAATGACACCCAGTGGTAGAGTACAATAATGTTTATGTAGACTGGTTTGATTTCTTTAACAGTTTAATGTGTCTATTGAAATAGTCTTACTCAACCACCGCCAGATAATCTTTGTTGATTTAATTCCTGTCCAACCCCCTGCTGTGCAATGTGATCCCGGCAATGTTCATCTGAGCCTGAGGACCAAACTTTTTTTTTAAATTGGCCACTGTGGCCTCAGGTGTTTGGTGGGAGTCCAGTTCCTCTCAGCCTCTCTAAACCCACTAAGAGCCGACCTCAGGGAGACCACTTGAATAATGAAAGTGAAATTAGCAGTTTCCTGTTTGTATTCTAATTATTCTTCAAGAGCACAGATCTTTTCAAATAAAGGGATATCTTAGGACACTGGAGGATTCTTTTGTCTTAACCTCTATACAAAATGCCCATTAATAGACCAGAAGCTTCAAGGTTGGCTGATTAGAATACCAACTCTTTGAACTAAATATAAAATCTATTTTTGGATGTTTGCTATCAATAATGTGGGAAGGCTATATGAGCTTCAGACTCACTGCTCGTTTTGTCACTTTTGTGCATCACTTTCACCCATAGAGGGCACCATAAACTCAGCCATGAGGGGAATATCTCAGGAACATCAAGAGTTTTGTTTGTATTGCAAGTTGCCAGACAAAGTGTTCTTTGTTCAGCTTATCCCTCTTGCACCGCCTATCCACCCTGTCTGACAGCTTCTGGCAGACTCAGTCCCCATCAAACCATCCCTCTGTTTTACCCCTGTCTTCTGTTCTCACTCTTTCCCTTTCAGTTGGCCATAAGTTTTTGTCTAAAGACAGTCCGCTGTGTCCAGTTTGTTCAGTTAGACCTTGAGCTTGATCTCTCTGGATCCGATCTTTTCTGCAAAGGGAGCTGTTTCTCTGTCTGGTTACGCTGTCTCTCTTCGCAGAGGTGAGGCAGAGATTTTTGGTCCAGAAGGCAGCTGGGATCCAGACTTTCTCCTGTGGTCTCATCCCAGAAGATGTCCCTCTCTGTGGGTCTCCTTATAAGTTTAACCCTCTGGATCCCTTCTGTATTTGCACCTCCAACTGAAAGGCAAAATGAAATGACCAGATGATGCTGGAATCATTCATTTAGAGGTTATAGATAGATTTTGTATCAAATTAGCTTGTCAAAATGATCATTTGCAGCCGTACCATTAACTGCGTAGACAACCTTATGTCTTCTTTGCTCTCTGGTTTGTCGGAGGTGAGCTCGCCGACGCTGATGTGCCTGTTGAGTGAGAGATGTCTGGGCCTCCAGGAACCCTCTCTAGAAAGACAGCAGAGCCATAAGAAACCAGTGGTAAAAAGAACATCTACTCCAGCACTGTACAGTTTTGATGTAATCTAGTTGAGTGTTCCCATTTTATGCTACTTTATACTTCTACTCCACTGTCTTTATTTACCTGATATAGGACTAAGGACCAAAGCATAGTTTCTTTAATAAAGTTTACTGTAAGTAAAAGGACAGTGTACTCGAGTTCTCCCTTCTCTTGCCTGTGGATATTTCCTCCTACGCACCTGTCTACAAGAAACTGAAGGTGTACATGAGCCTTCAGTCAGTTACAGATTAAACCAGTTGTTCTCAGCCTTTTCGGTTTGTGTCCCCTTACAAAAATGTCCAGTCAAGTTTTAATTTGTTAGTAGTTCCACAAAAGACAGCTTTACCTGCTAAACTTTAACAAAAAAAAAGAGTAATTAATGAAGAATAATCTAAAAAATGCAAACATATTTATGTAACAGGATTTAGTTTTTTCCTTTTTCCTAGCGCATTAGTCATCTCACAAGCCCAAGGCTGGGAACCACTGGCTTCACCTACCAAATATAAAAAGGTTAAAATTAGCATCAGTATTATTAACAACCTAATAATGTAATATATGATAATATATCAGTCACTCGGAGCGTTTTTCTGTAGAACAAGTACTTTTACTGTTATTCAATTTTCAGTGTTATTTGTATGGCACCAAATCATAACAGAACCGTACTCCTTGTAAAATTCATCTTCAGAGACCCAACTATTCCTAGTACATTTAGCTGATAATATTGTACTTTTACTTAAGCAGGATTTTCAGTGCAGGACAAAAGTATTTTATGCTATTGATACTTAAACTTACTACTTATTCCACCATTGCAATAAACACATTTATACATAAGATTTATGGGACTTGTTGTAAACATATTTTCTATGGACAGATGTGGATTTAAAGGAAATCATTCAATAGAATTAATCATGTGACTTTTCTTTGTGTCAACGAGAGTGTATCTAATAGTAGGGACTTTTCTGTTCCCTTTACCCTGAAAATAGATTCCATTGAGGGCCAGTGATGGCTGTAGACCACCCTGCTTTCCACTCCACCAACACTTTAATCAGATCCACTGGGACAGGAAGGCCCCACATTCATCACATCCCATCGCTCTTAAGCACTGCTGCACACTTTAATTTTCCCTCAATATAAAAATGTATAGTATGAATTATTGATGTTATAGATGCACTTCAGCTCTTCCATACTTTGTCAAGATGCTTTACCTGAATCATTCTGCTGGTGCCAGAGTGTCCTGTCCGGCCAGCTGTAGAAAATCGCTGGACAGCCCCATCTCTGCAGTCCTTGCCCTACAACAAACATCAAATTCCTTATTGGGTTCTGAGATCATGGCATGAGGGTAGTGATGCTGGGACAGTCAGCAGCAATATCTTTCTTTTTTTTTCTTTCTTTCTATTACCATGGCAATTTGAGTGGCAGTGCTTGTGTGGCCAATTTGAAGGGCCAGTGGTTGCAGTGCCTGAGGAGAGATAATGATGGGACGTCTGGGTAGAAATCACAACCAGTCAGAAACAATAATGCTAAATTATGTCTGCCAGAGTCCCAGCAAAGAATTGAACAGATGAGAAACTTCTCAAATGAATCAGCCAACAAGACTCATCCTGTTACAGTTAATAAAACTATATCACGCAGCTGATTTTGCCGCTCTAACCTGGGGTCTTCGGGGTGGATGGGAGTGAATGATGCTTGAATTGTTGCTTTGCTTTGGTGGAAGGCTTCCTGCAAAGCATGGTTCTTACAGCACACACATGCACATACTGTGTTATTATTTCACATCTAAATCGGCATCACAACACAGGTCTGTAAAAAATAATTAAAGCCTGAGTGGGAATGAAAAATTTGAGACAGGAGACCTACTAACCTGAGAGTGTGGAAAGAGTTATTTCCTGTTTCAGTGGAGGTAAGGTTATCTTTCTCTGTCCCAGAGATCCTGACAGCCGCTCCCCAGTGACCGGCAGAGCAGGGAGGGTCCATTGTGGTTCGGGCTGTGTCCCCTTTTCTTGCAGGCTATTACATGGAGCTACCTTCCGCACCCTGGGTCTGGAGCCTGTGGAGCCCATTGTCCCTCTCCCTGTCCAAAAGCTGACAAGTTAAAATACTAAATTCTACTGTTCTACATGAGACATGCACATGTCTCAAAGTTAATGTATCTTTCTTCAAGTTTGGTGTTAATTACAATTACTAATCTCACCTTTTTAATGTCTTCTCATGAGTCACATAAAGATTCTGTTACTGTAGGTCCACTGGTTTTATTGACTTTTCTCGTGTAGGCTCTGGAGATTTTTGGTCTCTCCCAGGAAAACATTGTAAATTACAGAATAACTTCACCTTTAAAATTGACTATCCAACTGACCCCAGTTATTCCAGTTCCTCCCAAACAATCTGGTTGTCTTCACATCTCCCCTGCTGGTGATCTTAATGTTTGTCCTGAAGCATCTCTGTCTGGTGCCAAATAATCTATGCAACAATCACTTTTGGTAGTGGTTAAAAGAGTAGGTGTGTACTTTCATATTTGTCTTTCTCATCATAATGAGCTAGGTTTCTATGGCAACTCTCCCTACAGGTTACTTTGTAACTCATAAGTTAATGCTTGAAAGAACCTGTTATTTCCCTGCACCCCTTGCATATTGGAAAGCCCAGAGGGGTAAGGAGAGAGGCAGGTTCTTTGGGAAATTGTTAACTGACTGAAAAATGTGACTTATGAGAGCTCAGAAAACCACAGAGGAGGCAGACAAACAGTTTGTAAGCTTTGTTGGTGCAATTTATGTGTTTGTCAGAGGAGATGATTGTTTTCAAGACTGTTCACCTTAAATTATTTTGGTTATGCTAGTGGCATGGCTCTAGGGGGATAGCAATGTCTATTGGTTCGGTCTGTCCACATACTTTTGTCCAAACTGAAATATCTCAATAACTATTGGGTGGAATGCTGATAAATGAAATGTAGATATTCATGCCCCCCCACAGATATAAATGTTACTGACTTTGGTATTCCCCCTCTCTTTTCCGCTAGCTTTGATTGAAATATCTCACAAATTATTGCTAGGAAATTTGGTGCAGATATTCACGGTGCCCTGACCTTTCATGTAGTCTACCACCATCAGGTCAAAATGTTTCTGTCTTTCAAATACTGAGACTAAATAGATAACTATTCCCATCAGCCTGTACTTTGGATTTAGTGCTAATAATCAGCAAATATTCGTATTCTAACGTGCTTTTTTTGGTTTTAAATGTTTTATTGTTTAACAAGGGTAACAAACAGCATACACAAACAAATACATAACAATTAACCCTCACTCCCCACCGCTGATGGCAACCCAATCCACATTTCAACTGGCACATGCTAACATGCTAAACTAATATGCTAAACATTATACTAAACATCAGCATTGTGAGCAACTTCGTGTAAAGCATGCTGATGTGAGCTGTGAGCAAAGAAACTTTAGACCACTGATCAGACATAAAGGGTCATTTAAATATGTCAACTGGGATTCTATGAAATTGATTGGCATTATTCACTTTTTTCTGACACTTTTGCATGCTAACACACTCAAATTAGATGATAACCCAACACAAAGATTCTAGCATTATGCGCTTGTTGGCGTGCTGACATTGACATTTAGCTCAAGCACTGCTGTGCCAAAGCAGCTTGTATGGTTGTAGACTCTTATTATTTGAATTATTTAGCTTTTTTCACTGATGCGTCTGCAGTTTGGACACAGTGTTTTGGCCTCTTCAGAGCACTATTAGTCGTCTCATCTTACTTTTAAAAATTGCAGACTGCTGGACCTCTTTAGCAAATGATGCTGATTTGCACTCAACCTGTAATATGACCAGAACTTGTAGCAGTGTAATTCTTTGAAATTTCTCCCTTTTTTTCGGTTTTGCTTCCAATAAGAGTGTGTTAAAAAATTAATGAGGCTTCCTTTAATGAAGAGCGAGAGCTGTATTTTACATCCACTACCTAAGGCCCCTCTCTGATTGCCTCTTATCAGCATCCAGCTGGGTGGCAGCACTGTATCATGAAATAAACATATGAACATTTACACATTCTCCTTCTTCTAGCTCATTTATTTGAAGATGTTAAAATGCCACTGCGGCTGTTAAGCTGAAACTGTCACTTCAGCAAATGCTTCATTAGAGGTCTCAACTCACTGACTGCACTCTGGCAACCATAATGGCACTGTGGTGTTAGACTCTTGGGAATGCGTGTGTGTGTGTGTGTGTGTGTGTGTGTGTGTGTGTGTGTGTGTGTGTGAGAGTGATGTAGAAAGACTGACAAATGATTCTACTGACACCCCCATCATCTCAGTAGATCTCAGTAGCACTATTTGGACTCAAATTTAATTTTGCCTCCATGTTATGAGACACTAGAAAGTCATTTTGACACGTACCTCTCACAGTGTTATGCTCTACAGGCAAAACATGTCCCATGGGCGTTTGCCTGTCATATAGGCATGCATTATTACCATAGGTTGTGTGTATCTGTGAAAGAGGATAGATTATAGTAGAAACAATCATTCTCAATCTTCTTCATTTTGCAGTGTATGTGTGTTAGGTGACAGCTACGTGCAGCACAGAAAAGCATTGTATCATATAGCGAGAGAATTCTGCAAAGTCACTGCTGCTAAATCAATGCAGTGCACTTCACTGATTACTAATATTGTATGAATCACACAGCTTAATTGTGCTTAAAATACTTGGCCATGACACAAGTTAATGGCTGAAACAACAAGCTCTTGTGTGCTCTTATAAGGCTGTTTCCACAGCTTCAAAAATAGCGATCACACCTTAAACTTACTTTAACATCAAAGTATGTGCCGTTGCTAACATTAGACCATGTGGTCATTTGTCACGTCTTCGTGCTAATGTGTGAAAGTGGATTCAATTGGAACCAAATGGAAGTAGGACCATAGCCAGGATTTTAGAATTACTTAGGCCATGACCATAATATTGCAATGTCTTTCTATTTCATATTGTCATTGTCTGTGTATATATACCTGTTGCATGTATGTTTTCCATTGAGGAGGGGTCCCTATTCTCTTTCAGCTTTTTTGTGTGTTTTTTTGTAGTATGGTTTTTGTGAATGCCATTCTGCTTGTTTAATGTAAGAACCTCTGATGTTTTGCCAACATCATCAGCAATTTATGCATCCTTGTTGGATGTTCCAATATATTGTTAAATAACTATACACACGCATGTGGTCCTGAGTTCATCAAGTGACTACAACAACTAGTAATACACTGCTATGAATGTGGGTTTTAAGTCTTTTATTATAAAACCAAAAGAGCCTGTACATTACGCATAGTATAATTGCCATTCTTGTATATAATACTATTCAATAAGATTTAAAATGAATACTCTTATTGATACAATTCTAAATAAATACCATAAATACATATAAGATTGAGCCAAACTGGCCCTGCCAATATTTATATTCACAGAATACAGTCTGCAGAGCAGGTCAAGGGAGAACAGACAGCTCTTTTGGGTTGGGTGCGTGCGAGGAACGGGACTGAGCGTGGTAAGTATTTCAAGAAAGTAAATAACACTTTCCACCCTTTCAATTTGCAAGATCCATAAATGTTCGCGGTTTCCCCCTCCCGCAGTGAAGTGGCGGTGATGCAGATGCATCTCCAGTTTAAAGTTCAAGACAATACTTCCTGCCTTCCTGATTGAGAGTCCACGTGGACCGAACATCCTGCCACACCTCCCAGGTGGGCAATGGGGGAACATGAGCAGACAGGGCTTCAAGACTGGTTAACAGAGGCTACTAGCAGAACTCAGCCGCGTCATGCCAAGGGTATGGAGACAGCGCCGTTTGCTCGACTGCGGCTTCGAGTGTTGACACTGGACTCTGTGAGCTCCTCGCCGTGTTCCTCTGACTTCTTGTCTGCAATGTTGGCCAGGAAACGTAGTGTGACTGAGTCCCACTCCTCGGGCAGCAGCAGGAGCAAGAAGCCCAGACAGATGATGCAGGTGGCTGCCAGGCGCACCACGCTGAAGATCACCTCATGTTTCAAAACATCTACGGCTACAGCAGGTGAAAGAAAGCCAGGAACAAAAGAGGGAGCCGGAGTGCAGGACAGGGAAGGAGGGTGGGGGAGAAACAAAACAAATTGAGATTAATTACATAAAGTAAGATAAACCACAGGACACAGCGGCTGTAGGGGATGAGTGTAGCAAATGCGGCTTATAATCAGCACAAGCGATCCACTTTATCCCCTGTGTCTTTGCGGCCTGGAGGCCAGGGACAAGTTGCCGTAACCCACTGACCTTCATGCAGTCCATCATTGTTAAAGAAAAGAACTCGTCTGCAGGCATTTAGTGTCGCCTTGGCAACCTGATCCTCCCTCAGCGAGAGAATAGTTGCAGGGTCTGTTTAGGCACATTGATGATTGGGTTTCCAGGACGAAAGAGGCAGACTTGCTGTGTAATCTGTTTGCTACAGTGGCCTTAAGTGCTGACCTCTCAAGACAAAAACCACAGTGTGTGTGGCCATTTACTCTCAATTTCACAATCCTGTTCATGTCCACCATAATATTCAAGAAATAATAACCGGTAAACTGGAGGTAATACTTAAACCACATACAGAAAACGTACCTGCATTGCCCGGCACACTGAGCAGTGTCCCTATGGAGATGAGAATGGGGTATGTCAGTACCACACCAACATGGACCAAGATGTTGAACACTGAAAAACATAGAAGTGCAAATGAGTTGAAATGATTATCAATAAATGCAATAATCATTTGACATCATTTTCATTTTTCTCAGCGAAACGTTTCACATGCAAGATGACAGCAAATGGCCACAGGTCGCATTTGAACCAATGGCCACTGCAGCAAGGTGTTTGGTGTTTGCTAACATTAGATAACTTAAGATGTGACTATTAATGTCATTTTTTTTTATCTTTTAACCATCTTCTAATTGGTTTTCTTTTCAAAGCATAGCATATGTACAGGAAAGGAGAAAGTTGACTGAGGTTCCAGAAGCGACATAGAAAGTGTCCATTGTAATAACTTGTGGTGATCCCTGAAAATTGTTACTAATATAAACTGTTTTTCAACACATGGATGAAACCACGATCCTCATTCTTCTTCAGAGATGTATATGCACTCTCACCCAGCCACAGTCCTGCCAGTCCACACATGTATCCCCACGGCAGTGAGGACAGTGAGCCCCAGTGCTCTACCCTGGTGAAGTAGAGGATAAGGGGCACACAGGAAATAAAGATGAGGTTGAAGAAGCCCATGGTGGAAAGGAAGTGCGCCACTTCTCCAAGGTTGGCACTGCCCAGGAACATCTTGAACAGCACCTGGGTGGTGAGGAGACAACTCTTAATTTAGTGACTATTAAAGTCAGTGCAAAGGCAAATCACATGAATGGTTCAACCTGTAATGTGCTTAGTGGTCTAACCTTGTAGAGGGCTGATGTTGAGGCTGAGCCTACAGCCAATGCCACGCCCACAAAGGAATCACCATGAAAACCATCAGCATAAGCCATCATGACAATGCCTGTGATAGCCATTATAGCTGCTACAATCTGCAGGTAGAGATTCAGAGTCATCATTGGCATTGTATTCCTAAGAAGTGAGAAGTACAGTCCTTCAACATGTTATTATAATCACTGTTCATACTGACCCGAACACCCATGAACCGGTCCTTGAGAACAATCCAGGACAAGAGAAAGACGAAGGCCTTGTGGCAGCAATAGAGGGCAGAGACATCAGTGGCGGTCAGCTTCTTCAAGGCCAGAAGGTACAGGTAGTTGGTCAGTGTCCACAGGATTGAGAAGGGTGCTGTCCTCTTTACAAAAAGCTTCAGAGTCATCCCATCCTCCCCAAAGAGCTTGCTGCACTCCCTGTTACCGAGAGCAAACCACAGAGGGTTAAAGGAAGTCGTGTCAACCTGTTTCTCCTCTTGGAACAATGTCTTTGTTTGTCAGGCTTTTAGCCTTGCTATCAAGAGGAGCATGCTTTGATGATGGAAATATTGGTTGCTTAGTTCCCTGGTTCCTCATGGATAGGTGTTTTAAAATTTGTAAGGCCTCTAGAGACCAGTAGTGTAGCTGTAATGGTAAGCTGGATCATGCAAAACCTTTAAAAATAATTATTTAATAAATATTTCAGAAAATATAAGTATAAGTTCATAAAATTAATTTTATATTCAGTAGGCATCAATTTCATTATCGATAGTCCTGCTCTACTTGTTCAAACTTACAGTTTAGAGTGGGATTAGGTCCACAAGGTTTATTTTCCTCTTAAGACATAAACACGGATGTACAAGACTTTTAAAGGAAACTCTCTGAATTAATAATTCTGTATTTTTTTTTAATTAAGTCAATGATAAAAGGCCTATATTTTTTTTTTTTTTTTTTTTTTTTTTTTTTTTTTTTTTTTTTTTTTTTTTATTATTTCTTTTTATTTCCAATACAGTGCTAATGGAGAGAAAAAAATAGCAGTTTTGCCTTTATGGAGTTTTAATGGTTCAGTTTATAGTTTTAAATGTTATATGGTCCGTTTTCTAGTCTCCATTATTTAAAATTTATAAATTAGTCATGTTATTAACATTTAAAATGTTTTTTTTTTTTTTTTTTTTTTTTTTTTTTTTTTTTTTTTTTTTTTTTTTTTTTTTTTTTTTTTATAAATTTAAAAATTTTTTTATTTTTTTTTTTTTTTTTTTTTTTTTTTTTTTTTTAAAAAATTTTTTTTTTTTTTTTGGGTTTTTTTTTTTATAAATATTTTTTGTAAGATGTTTAAAAAAAAAGGTAAATAACTACTTTTTTAAAAAAGAGTGTTGTTTTTTTTTTTTTGTTTTTTTTTTTTTTTTTTTAAGATTATTTTTTTTTTTTTTTTTTTTTTAAAATTATATTTTAGAGGGGGTTTTTTTTTTTTTTTTTTTTTTAAAAAAAAAAAAAAAGTTTTTTTTTTTTATTTTTAAAAAAAAAGTTTATTTTTTTTTTTTTTATAAAAGTGCTCAAGGGGGAAAATTTTTATCTCCTATAGCTCTTTTATGTATCAGCAGTGGTGAACATACATATTGCAAAACCTTAATATGAAAGGAAATCCAATTGAACAAATATAGTTATTGGCAGTTTACCTGAATTTCTGTATGGGGGTCTGCTTCTCCCGTGTGATAACCACATGTCCAGAGTAGTAGATGGGGAAGAAGAGGATGTTCCAGTTGCTGCTGAACCAGGAGATGAAGAAGGGACAGGAAAACGACTGGAAGGTCAGCTTTACCACTTGAGTCGTACCCACCCAGGAGGAGGAGACGCACAACACCATCAGCAGACCCCCCAGCACCTTCAGAACTGCGTTGGTACATGTCCGATAGGACCGGCTCTCTCCGCTGGTCTCGCTGCCTGGTGTCTCTGCATGAGACTCTGAACCGTCCTCTCCTGATGGGAGACAATAGGAGATTAGACAATAACAGAAAATGCTACTGTGGGCTCTACTTTTATATAAGTTTATCTGCCTCTACAATTTTACTTTTAGATTAGATTTTAATTACAATGCCTCAATGTTTTGAGATACTTCATTCCAGTCCAGTCCTCAATAACTACTACAGTAGATGGATTGCCTTTTACAGACATTCATGCTCCCCAGATCAGTCCTACGTAATCTCCCTGACTATTTCTGATAAATAAAGTTTTACATTTTTGGATTTTAGTTAAATTTCTTGACAAACATTGGATGGATTGCCATGGAATTTTGCATAGATATCGATGGTGCTGAGAGGAGGAAGCCGGATGACTCTGGGGATCTCACCTAACTTTTCCCAGAGCACCACCATGAGGTTTTGGTTTTGAGTGAAATATCTTGTCATATTAGCATTTAGCTCAAAGCCATACTGGCCTGCTGGCTGTTTTCCTAATTCATTTATATAAGCTAAACATTGCATATTATGTATGCTTTGTATTACTGTATACAATAGGATGTAGCTTGTGTCTTCCTGGCTGGGAGAAGCATATAAGCATTTATTCATCAATCGCCCTTAGTGGTCACTACCAAAGTTTCTTGCTGTAAAGGCTCTAATGCATAAGACAAGGCTTTGTGTTGGGTTAACATTGTGGCTGTGCATGTCATAAATAGCTTTGTCGCCCCACGATGCAGTACGTACTGTACACCCGTTGTAGTCAGGTGTGCACAGAAACCTGATGCCCCAAAAGCAAGTGTAAACCTAACCACATGACATTCCTCAAGAAAGTCATGTCAACCTTGGCAGTCACTGTTTTGACTGCTGATACATTCCTGCTCTGAATCCATGGTTTAGATGCGTCTGGGCTATATCAGAACAAGAATTTTATGGGATATTTGGGAAAGAGGTATGATGTCATCACTAGACAAATTATATACCAAAATTACAAATAGATAGATAGATAGATAGATAGATAGATAGATAGATAGATAGATAGATAGATAGATAGATAGATAGATAGATAGATAGATAGATAGATGCAGAGATAGATAGATGCAGAGATAGATAGATGACAGTGACGCCTGGTTGATCTGGCCCAGTGCCTTAATGGACTGCGGTAGTGAATAGCTTCTAGAGCTTAACTGTGCTGTATAATCATGTGATGTGCTGTGTGTGTGAGCATTTTGTGAGAACTCACATCCGTTCTTTAACTTTCAACAGTGTGATCAATTTACACCAGGGCAGGAATAAGAGATGACATGTGCTGGATGTTTGCTGCCTGTGCTCTCTTTGCTAGCTCAGCACGTGAAGCTCTGCCATTCCCACCATGGCTACAGACACTAAAGCCCTGCAAACACTGGAACTTGTACCCGAACTATCTCTCCTCTACAGTAGAATCTTAGGGGTTCTCATTATTGCATCTGATAGTTATCTGCAATTAGACCTCAGCAGGAAGTCAGACAATGGGAGTACAAGTTGTAGTCACAGACAGGTCTAATGAGAGCACATTGTATTGACAAGTAAATAATGTGTAAAGCATTTACATTGGTGAGATGCCATTTTGTAGAATCTAAAGTGTCCACCATGTTTACTGGACACAAAGAGAAGAAAATTCCAAAGTAATCTGATAAGTGTCTTTTCCGGGCGGGCCACTTCTTTCATTTATATAAAAACCTAACCAAACTTGCCAAACTTATTTTATAAGCTAATGACTGCATGAGATCACTGCTGGCAAGAGTATTAAAGCTTAGTGATGACTGACGAGAATGAATGGTGAATATAAATTCACAGATTAGAGTCAGTGCAGTGGTGGAAGAAGTTGTCAGATCCTTAAGTGAATTATCACATTTTACATGATTAGGTTAATAGTGATGCATCAATGCATAAAACATATTTAACTGGTCGTGTTTGAGCGCGTTTGAATCACTTTATATACAGTTTGGCAGTTTAATTCAGTTGTTCCCAACCAAGGGATCAGGTCGCCTTCAAAGGGTCACAAGATAAATCTGAGGGATTGTCAGAAGGTTAAGCTGTGCTACACACATTGTATTCATATTTTGGATCTTTGCTTTTTTGTGAAATGTCGGACAATGTTACTTTTGTGGGTCTCAAACTGTTTTTTAAATAAAACCATACGAGAAGTTTGGAAGGGAAATGTGTACTTTAAAAGTTTATAATATGTTTTTATTGTTAATTCTTAATCTGAAAAGTAACCAGTAACTACATCTGTCAGATAAATTTAGTACAATAAGAAGTACTACTAATTCCCTCCCAAATGTAGTAGAAGTATAAAGTGGCAGAAAATGGGAAACACTCAAGTAAAGTACCTCAAAATTGTATGTAAGTAGAGTACTTGAGTACATGTAAGTAGTTACTGTCCACCACTGCATCAGTGCAGCACTAGCCTTCAGTCGGTTAACACTGCAGAACTAAACTTTTCCACTCACAGTACAGTGTTTGAAGCAAGAGACTAAAAAACCTTTAAACTGTAAGTGACAATAAAAACCGTGTGCATCCAAGAAGTGTAAAATGATGAAGACACCCACTGATGAAGTCAAACTCTTTCTTTTTTAGTTCAATTCAGTTCATTACAGACTAAAAAACCCCTCTCAGATAAAAACCTCAGATAAAATGTTTCACCTTGCAGTTTATCCCAGCTGGGAGCAGATCTGGTATGTGGTGAAAGAAAATTGTTCAACACCGATTTCTTTTCTACATGATCATCAAGGGATTTGGTTTAATTACATTCTGTCACAGCAAGGATTCTTAATCAACCTAATGAGCCTGGTGGTTACTAACTGGAAAACTGAGATCAGAAATTTCTGCAAGAGAGAAGCGGCTCTTTTATTCTTTTTTCTTCCTGCTTCCCCTCGTCCACCAAGCAAGATGGTTCTTGTTTCATAGCACTGACAAAACCAGAAGCTTTTAGTGTTGAATACGGGCTCTTCTGTCCAGAGGTAAGAGCCACTACAGGCTGATCTGATGCCAAGATGCAGTAATATTATAACTCTACTATTCCCCTGTCTCATAAAAGCAGCTCTCATGGCCAAAATTGTATTCTCATAACAGACAGTGTTATTGCTGACTTATATATTACTGAAAAAAGGTGGAAAAGAAACAATAATCCCTGACACAGGCTGTCAGCACAGTAGTGCAGTAAGATACTCCACTAAAGGAGAAAAAGTGCTATTTGAGGTTAATTTCAGTCAACTTGGAGTAAGTGTACTTGTTTAGAAAACTGCTCAAATTACAGCGTACTCTTAAAGTACTTAGACTTATTAACTGAGCCCCAGCTTAATTTGGTGCATAATTATCAGATATGGGATGTTTACATAAAGACGATGATGCAGAAGGTTTCTGTAGCTAAATTTCATAACATAAAAGTATGGGAAAATGCCTAAACCTTAAAATATATACTCTCCACAAATACATCAAAACACTAACAAAAGAGATGAGGCAAGCTCCTTTCCATCAAACAAGAATCCACAGAATTGATTTAAAAAACAGCTTTTTTAAAGTTTTTATGTATAATACTAACTAATACAATACTTAACTTTTTAGAATTTGAAAAATGTTTATCAATATTCAAGGAATAGCTGACTCGCTCACTATGGGTGGCAAAAGAAGTATTTGAAAGCGTTACCATCATGCAATTTCATTACAGAAATTACAGTGCTGCATAGCATCAGTCGCTACTGGCACCCATTAACAAAGCTTATCCACTCCGTGTGACGCAGTATGCTGCTCGAACCTCACATCTCAATCCATTCTGTGTTTTATCCCCGCCACTGACGCTGCATGCCAGTGACATTGATGGATGGACGCCTGCTGAATCCAATATGAAGCTCACAGTCATGTCTGCAGTGTTAGGCAGGCGTACTACAGGCCAAACAGCATTAAGTCTTTATTTAAATGAGGTCTGAAGATGTGACGTGGTTATGAAGATACTGATTAAAAGGTGATTAGCAGTATCACTGTTAGAAAAGTTAAAAGGTGGAGGGATTTAGGTGAAGTTAAAGCCTTTAGGGATGAGGATGATGAAGAGTGGGGAGTAGAAATGTTCAGTTAGATGAGGGATGGACAGAATGAACAGATGTGAAAGTAGCTGAGTGCCTGTTTTGTTGTTTTTATATCCGTGCTGGGCCACACAGGGCAACCAAAAACAACCAAACATATGCTGCCGCTACAACTACACTTCCTGTCAACACATTAAGCATCAGCAGGAGACCGAAATGATACAAATGTGTGTTTTACACCATCCAGAGGAAAAAGTACTGCTCAATTCAGTAGCTGAATAAAATTTCTGACATTCAAATGCAGCACACGACTGAGTTAAGAAGAGCACATCCACACCACACTATCTGTATTTGATATGAATACCTGTACACTTTATATGACACTTCAGTACATGTGACGCCTTATGGGAAATAATATGTAATCATCTTTTAAATAAAAGTTCTCCATAGTTTTAAGCAGCCAATCTGAGCTAATGCTGCCAATAACTCAGTTCATGCTAACACATACACATAAGATATACACAGTTTAGTATAATTGGCATCTTGGGCCTCTATGGTTCTTTCAGTTTACCTTCAGAGATGGGGCAGGTCAGGACCTGAGTGCTGTACGAGCTGAGAGGAGCCACTCGGGCTGAGTGCTTCTTCATCCTCCACTGGGGGTACAACACACTGTCCTTCCCTGGGAAGTGTTTGTCTATTTGTGTGTATTGTGTATGTGTGTGTGAATGTGTAAGTGTGCCCGGGCTGCTGCTGCTGCACGTTCAGCAGCTCCTCCCGCTAGCTCCGTGCATCCTCAGACTCCTGACTCCTCCGCTTCTTCTTCGCGCTCTTGATTGGCCCCCCCCACCTCCTCCCAGACCTCTGTCAAACTCTTCTGTCTTCTTCCCAGCACTCCAGTCCTGACTCTCCGTTCCTCTTCAGCCCAACTCTCTGTTACTGGTGCTCTCTCTCTCTCTCTCTCTCTCTCGCTCTCTCTCTCTCTCGCTGTCTTTCTCTGTCTGTCTGGTTAGTGACACAGCTCAGTGGAGATAGCTCAGTGGAAGTGCAGTGAAGTGGAGACTCTACTGTTGCACTGTCATGCCGTGATCCAGCGCTGCCACTGTCTCCAAGGGAGACTGAGCTTCAAGTGTGTGTGGCATGGCGCAATCACTCCCCTCATCTCTTTCTGTCCTCCCCCTCCTTTTTTTTCTCTCTCTGTCTCTCTCTCTGTTTCCCCTCCTCTTCTTTTGCTCCACAAATCAGCAGCTTTGTTTGGAAGGTAACCAAGCAGCCCAGGCTAATTATGCTGCGTTAGCTGCTGCCCCCTCCTTTTCTCCTTCCTCCTCCCCTCTCTTTTCTACCTGACCAGGCTCTTCTCACCCCTTCCTTTCTCTCTCTATATATATACTCTTGTCCTCTGTCTTCCAATGCCTCTCTCTCTTCTTGGCACATATCCTGCTCTTCACTACTCCTTGAGAGTCAGAGCTGTTGCTTGCAGCCCCTGCAGCATTAATCAATTGAGCTATGAGAAAAACATAACTATCAGAAAGAAATGACATTATGTCTTCCACTGAAGTAATCCTAGTGCTCTTAGTGTTTAGAAGAGATCTGCCCACATGGTACTCACACTACTATTACACAAGTACATATCACTACTATGATATGCTACCAAAATGATAGCACGGTATAAAGAAGATAGCAATACAGACCATCTCAGGCATTTTTAAAGTATATGTTTGTACTGTAGGCTTACAACTCTAACATGTGCAACTTCAAATCAAAATTGGATCTGGTGGATCTTAATCACTCTAGTTATCTGTTACTGACATGGACATGCAAAAGAACTGCAAAAGACAAGTGAATCCAATCTGTATTGCCAATTCTCAAAGTCTGATCATATGTTGAATATATACTTTGTTTCACCTGCAACTACGTAAAGCAAATTTTTCTTAAGTAAAAGGTGTTTGTACATAACTAACTACATTTCAGAGGTAAATGTGGTACTATTTATATGACCAAATTTATCTGATGTCTGGGAGTAAAAAGACTGAACATGCAAAACCTCCACTAGGTTGGAATATATGATGCACTGATAGACTTTAACCTAGCCAACAAAAGTACTGTTTAGTAATTAGAAATGTAATGTTGCTTGTAGGGAGTTGTGGCTCCCAACACCTTCATCAAGTGAGTCAAACTCATCAGGTTTCAGGTAGGCCTCTTTTTTAGGTGTCAAAAACCTATGGACTCCTTAAATGTTGAGGCTTATAAGTAGCTGGTAAGTCACAAGGCTTAATGTTAATTAATTACCCTAGACTTAACAACAAATCATTTCTCCAGTGCGTGACGGTAACAAATGGTTATACAGCTAGATTTAGAGGAAAAAGCTCATAACATACATGGCATATAAATCTTAGTTCAATCAACAAAACCAAAGAAAGTATGCTGTGGTGGTATGTTGGCAGGTCATCCGCATTAATATGATTGGATGTAGTAGACTGTAGACTAGTTAGCTGATAGCCACACAGCTGTGAATGTGCCAGTGTTTGTAAAGCATGAATGAAACAGCTTATGCCAATCAGCTAATGCAGGCATAGTTTCAGAACAACAACAAATGCTATGCTTCATTACTTAAGATGTAAGCACTTTAGACTGGTGCTTCTTCACTTTTATTCAAGTAAGAATTCCTGCGCAGGATGTTTACAGTTAATGGAGTGTTTTTACATTAAATATTTACATTGTGATTATACTACTTTGATTAAAGATTTTAATACTTTTTCCATCACTGTTGCACTGTCAAGGGGAACCCTTTCATCAGTAGCCAGTGTGGACTTCAGGAGGGTCAGCCTGGGCCTTGTGAGTCCCCCCTGGGACTGTGGTCAGGAGTTTCCATCTCAAGAAAAGCCCTCCAGCCTTTCTATCTCTAGCTGTGGTTTATCTACCTGAGGATTTAATGGACCCAAATATTGCTCGGCCCTCTACAGTAACAACATATCAGTGTCTAGTGTATGCGGTTAGACACATGAGGCCTCACAGCCTGTAATATAATCTCAATATAACCGGTGCTATGCTATGCATACCCTCTCGCCAGTAAAATCAATACTAGCCAAGCCAGGAACAGTAGCACTATGACCTGAGAAAGAGAAAGCACTCAAAGTAAACATGAAATGCCTTAAGTGCATTGGTCCTTTGTCTAAGTTGGTTTGTTAAGAATACTAAATGAGTGCTATTTTGCAGTCATGTTCCAGGATCTCTGTCATTGTCAGTATCAGCCCCTCCCTTGCTGACTGTCTCTACTCTCCAATGCTCATCAGCCAAAGTTCTGGCACTTGTATAGAGAGCATAGCAGATCATCATTCTTCAGGCTGTGGGAAACAGCACGGATATTGTTTGGCTGTTTGTTACAACAGAAAAATATGCAAATATGAAAAAGCCACACTTGACTGTCATTTTTTAAGGACAATGCCATAGTGCAAGCTCAGTTATGTCCCATGGGCAACACTAATGCAAATGCTTTCAGTGATGTCATGAGAATGAGGCTTGATTAAAATGTTTGTGCATTAAGTGTGTGATGCAAGCGTGGCAGAAACAAATGTTTGGTCAGGTGTAAGCAGGGGATGAGCTGGGGGTATGGATCCCCTGAGACAAGGCGGGTTAAACTTAAAAATAGCCCTGCTGATGAGTGGAGCCAACAGCTAGACAGGGAGGGGACAGAAAAACGATCCAGTCAGCAGAACCCAGGATGCTAATCGCTAGCAGATTAAGAGAAATACCTGGACCATGGGCGCTGCGGGAGGCCACAGTTCACTTTCAAATATTAGACCAAGTGCTTTTTCTACTGTATATTTTTAGTTAAAGATATCTTAAACGTAACATGCCACAACTTGTTTGTTGTATCACTTTTGCAGCCAAAGAGCATCATGTCCAACAGCAACAATGGTACACTTTTTGGTATAACACCCCATCACAAATCAGAGCTCCAAAATGACCATAAAGTACTGATTCAAGTACCTCTCTAAAACAGTTTCAACAAAAAGCAAACATCATGACGTCATAGCCTGGCTATGGGTGACTAAAGAACAGAAAACTGAGTGTATATAACACAATGTACGACTGCATCCCAGATCAAAGCACAAAATAGTACAGCACCCTCGCTCTTTACCTCCATAGCAACAGTGGGCCTCCTGTGTACTGACGCACTGAACCAATTCAGGCTCTTTTGTCATTTAGATTAACCGATGCTCCTCGGTTTATGGTGCAAGCTCCTTTGTCTTTAGTTCCTCTGTGTTACTCATCACATCTCAGTGAGCACCAGGAGCAAAGAAGGAGGATGGAAAACGAGAGACAGAGGTGTGAATGATATGTTCAACTGATTTTAGCTGTAGTGAGGACCGGACAGACAACGACTCAAGTGCTTCCACTCACTGGACCTCATATCACAAACTCCACTCAATGTAGCTAGAACATTGGAAGATGAGGACACCTAGTGGTGATGGATAGTATTACAGGTGCACATACCAAACATTTTTCTACCAACAGTGAATGCTCTTTTGACAGGAACATTATTGGAAAGAACATTGCTGGATTAGCCTGTTAGGGGCCCCCGGGCCAAAACCTTCCAAGTAATGGGTTGCAATATTTCTCCCATATAGGAGTTACAGAACTGCTGACCTGTCCTAATGCCACTGTGCTGTCATACGTTGTAGCATTGTATGTCAGATGACTAAGTATTTTGGCTAGCCCTAACAGTTATTATTTTCCCAGAGACCAACCACTACTCCTATGCTGGAATACTGTCTTGTCCCTACCTGCGTCTATTGTGGAAGTTTGATTTAACACTTTATTTAGGAATAAATACAATAAATCCACTGTGAATCAAAATATAAACAAAAATAATAATAATTAAAGGCCACATGATTAGGTAATAATGCAAGACCTGTCTTAATTGATATTGTACTTTAGAGACAAATTTGCATTTGTCAATCTGGGGCTTTTGGGACGTGAGTGGGCCCCACAGCAGTTTACCACTTAGCCTGATTGGTAATTCCGCCAAGACAAGTTGTTATTGAGTTCTTCAAATGACATTTTTCAATTAATGCTTTGAGCACCACATATTTAATTCCTGTCACCATTGCTAATTTGGCGTAGCAGCAGAACTCTCAGGGACAGGGCTAGTGCAAATAAAACATAAACAATCCAAATGGCTAGGTAGGCTACCTCTATGGGTAAATGGATACATGTGTCTACTCTAAGGATCGGTTTGGGTTTGCAGGGACAAGCTGTGTTTTCATTCTGATTTATGCACAGAGGTAGCATAGACTAAGTACAGACATTTGCTGTGGAGGATGTAGAGGATCCCCTTATTGTTTTTGTTGGCTTTGCAGACCACAAGATGGCAGTGTTAGCCTGCTGACAAGACTGTTAGTGTACTCAGCATGATGGAAAGGCCATTACAAACCTTTCCTATTATTAGGAATTATTACTAACCTATTATGTAATATTGCTTCTGGATTACAGAAAATTCCTTGCGGGAGAAAATATTCTCAAATGCGAAGTGAATTGCTGGAACCAGCCAAAATACTTCGTCACCTGACACACAGTATTACAACATGTGACCAATAGCACGGTGGCGGGAGTACAGGTCAACAGTTCTGTTGCTCCTATGGAGAAATATTGCACCCATTACATGCAGGGTGTTTTGCTCATTCCCAGGAGCATGTGAGAGTAACAGCACTCCAGGAGTCGTTCAGGCGAAGCTTATATCCCATTCGAGGCTAGGCTCGTTATAAATAGCACTGAGTGTGCAGGCATGGGAACGGGACAGTCCAAAATAAGTGCAAGCATATACAGGATGTTTGGGGCAATGTTTGAGGGGAAAAGTGGAAATTCACCTGGTGTTAACACAGGATATAAATGGTTTCAAAAATGCGAAGTGCATTACCAATCAGTGCAAGCATGAATGGATTTCAAAGACCTGTCTATTTTCTCTTTTCTTTCTCTGTAGACTGAAGTGCACATAAAAACACACCCCATTGTGATAAATGCTTGTTTTTCACGCCCTTCCTTCATAAATTTCCTCTGAGTGCCTGTATGTGCTGTTGTCTTGCTGAGATACCAGCGGTGAACACCACAGGCACAGTGCTTAGTGGGACTGCCACTACAAGTACCTGTCATTTCTCCTGCACCATACCTGTGTCCCCAGCGGGGAGCGTGCCAGCACTACAGACTTGTCCTTTTCTAAATTAGCTATTCAAGATACACAGCAAATTATTGTAATGGTTTTTCAAGAAGATGCTGAGGAAGCATTTGCTGCACACACCATTGTTGTTTGTGCCAGCAGGAGCCGGAGTTGAGGTGCTAAGAATATGCATTTTTTTTCTTTTTTCTGATTTTA